GGGTTATTTGAAAATTCAACCCACTTTTACTGAATTAAGCTTATTTCCTGTTTTTTCCTTTAATTTTTATTTATTTCTGAAGGTGCCCTTTTTATATTCATTATTTAAAGCTAAATTATTCTCAAAAATTAGTAATTTAATAAAAACAAAAAATGTATAAAATATTTAGGAAAATAAAGATTTTTATCAATTATTTTTAATTAGATTTAAAAGAAAAAAACTTGGAAACGAGAATGATAAAACCCACTAAAATTCATGTGTCTTTTTATGTATAAGAAAATTATGAGCTCTTCGGTTAATGTAAATCATGTTGATCACATTTTTTGTTGTGTTTTTATTGCGACTATTGCGAGGTCAGACGCACTCGAACATGTGACTTGTGGATTTGTGCAAAATCCACGTGCTGCTGACACGAGCCTGTGGTAAAATAAATAAATCGGCGGCGTCAGCGTATTTTCGCGGCCCTATTCATAGACAAAAACACGCAATTGTATGTATGTTGGCTTGCGAGCGCGCGCAGGTAATATTAATATCCATGTCCAATTTAGTTTCTACCGCGGCGATCACCGCCGGATTTGCATAAATTCGCGCGGGCCAGCTGGTGTCCTTGAACACATACACAATCTTTTGTTTTCGCTCGCACCGTGAATAATTTCAACCTTGACATTTTTCAATAAATTTACTTTTCACAAGTTTTAAAATGGAGTAAATTTTTCGGCGTGATTTTTTTTAAATATTAGGTTCTTTGGATTGATGTTTTGCAAATTAAAAAAAAAATACCTATATTTTCAATAAATTACTGCTTATTCTTGAAGCTCAGTCTTAAAACTTGGGAAAATTTAAAGGTCGCGTTTCATACGATATGTTAAATACTCTGGAAGATAAGACGAGTCGGAATTTCGAAAATTGCCGGTAGCCTCGGCCCAATTAACCTGTGGCGTGACTGCATGTTGTGCTGCATTATTTTTCATTGTTGACCTTTGTTCTGGATAGTCGCACAATAATTGGAGTAGGCAAGTTATTTACATACCGCGGCGCAGACCTATTTTGCGACGGCGGCGGTGAAATGACACTCGCAGCCTAGCTCCGCCAGTGAGTGCATTTGTATGGCATTTGAAAGTGACACACACACTCGCAATCAGACCCGCTGCTGCTGACCGTTTCGTCTCGTTGCAAGTTCGCCTCAATCGATTCCAAACAGAGACACTCGGTTGAATAAAAAAAAATTGACTCAAGAAATAAAATGGCGGAATTCAAAAGCAGAGAAAGTGGCTATCCGTTTGAATTTTAAGCCTTGTCCAAGTTCATTGCCGGGTTTTTAACTAATTTTTAATTATGCTGAAAACCCTAAGATAAAAAAAATATCTCAGGTTATTATCAGGAAAATTTATTTTTTGTAAAAACCAGTAAAAACTCTGGTCCTTCTTTAGATTGCAGTTAAATTATATTTGAAAAGGCTTTTTATTTGTAACTTGTAACATTTTCTTTCACAAAATTTGTACAAGCTAATCGTTTTATATCATTCCAACTTTCTTTTCCACTCTCCTTGCCAACGAATTTTTTCGCCTTTAAATAAGTGTTTTTTACACTAAAATCACACAACTTTCCATTCGTGCTGGAACATATGAAAAGTGCACCTCAGCGCGTCAGTCAGATTATTATAACAATGAGTCGCGCGTCTTCCAATAGACAAAGAGTAAGTAGAGCACAAAAGTCACCAATTGTATAAGCTACGGTGCTTTCAAACGGTTCTTGTCTAGGCTGCACACAATAAACAATAAAAGCATGCACTCTACATATTTTAATTCTGATGGCCGTTCTCATACAACACGCGTTATTTAATTTTAGTTACAAAAGCTTTCCACAATCAGTTATTTGTTTAAAATAAGTACATTTACACAAAGCAACTTTCCTTCCGGTTTACCCAGTTGCGTCACTTAAGCAATCAATGATTGAGAAAGATGCAATTTTTAGTTAAACCGTTCAAGAAAGATATAAACTTTTCCTATTTTGGAAATTTTTTTATATTAAAAAAAATCTTTTAAACTTAGTCTTCAAGTTTGGAAAATTGTGTAAGATATTTAATTTAATTTCATCTCTTTATTGACAGTAAACAAAGAACCTGTAGTGATGGAAAGCGAAAGGTTGAAAATATTTAAAAGAAATTTCAGGTTAGCCAATTGTCATGATAATTTCAAAATTAATTTTTATTCTCAGCAGACGAAAGCGATTGCCATTCCTCGGCAATGTAATTGCACGTTTGGAAAAGGGACAGGTGCGTTTTCGATCAAGAGAGAGAGACTTTGGTGCAGCAGTTGACCTTGTTCGCCTTTTTTTGCGCCAGGGATGCTCGGCAGCTGCCGCTCGCAGTTTGAATTTAACTGATGCATTTCTCTAGAAAATGCCGCGCGTTAGAGAAATAGAGGAATTTCAGATTCTCGATCCGCCTTGAAAAGTAAAAATAATTATGAAATAAAATAGATGCGGGGACAAACTCGTTTAGTCGTTCGCACGCAACGACACCTGTCCTGCTCTCATTAATTGGGAGCGATTATTGTTTTGTGGAATTGAGCGGTGCGACACCTTCGGGCGTCTTCCTGCTGCCCAACTCCATCATTATAGATCGGCAGTCACGCAATTTTGAACACACATATTTTGCTCGTGTGAAATTAACCGTGCATAAATTTATTATAATTTTTTGATACTCAACAACGAAAAATGAGCTTTTGGTGAAATTCTTTTTAATTTTATTATTTTATCTGGAATTGATAAAAATTTGAAAAGAATAAAAATGATAATAATTAAATTAAATTTAAAGGAATTTGACATATTTATTATTAAATATTTTGTACGTGTTTAATTTTTCTTAGAATTATTAAAAATACTTCGAGGAAATGTTAGATTCTTGCCTATAGAGAGCATAATCCAAAAATTAATATTAATCAAAGGTATAAATTTTTTTTCATTTTCTTTTGAAAATCTAATTTCTTTTATTCGAAGCTTTTTTTTAAATGTTCAATCATAATTATAATTATTCTCGGCGTCAATTTGATTTGAAAATAAATGTGGCGGCGGTGAAGAAGGAAGTCGTCTGAGTGGGACCATAATAAAATAATTGGCTGCTCGAATTGAAGCGAGGGTTGTTGGCACCAGTGTGCCGCCGCGTCCCAGTCGGAATATATTTTTCTCCTGGTTGGAAACAATAAATAGCCAGCAGCGATTCCCATCCTTGACGCCCTTTGTCTCCCCCGCCCCTGCTTTATTATTAAAAGGTGGCGCTGCTCCTTTGCAGCAGGTAAATGAAGCGTGATGTGGAGAGAGACGCAGATGAGATGATGAACCACAAATAAAATCTCCTCTCTCTCTATCTCTCTCATAATATAAAATGGAGTGTTATTCAACATAGAGCACACGCACCAGCGACCAACCAGTTTTCTTTCTCATTATTGCTCGGAACGAAATAAAAACTCGCATTTCTAGTTAAATTCAAATCAAGTTTCTTGAGCCGTCAGACCTGAAGTTCCATTTGTTACAAAATTTGTTTCTTTTCTGCTTGACAGCGAATCAAGGGCTTTTTTATTCGATTTGTATCTGAAATTGGACCATTTGTGAAGGATTTTCTTTATATTTTTTCTAGTCAGAAACATTCGTAGCAGCTGTTCTTTTCCACCATTCTCTATTTTATAATTAATTCTGTAAATTCCGCCACGATATTTCTCTATTTCTAGGTGGCATTATTTCATAAATAAATATAATTAATGGAGGTGCGAAAGAGAGCATGGGAAGCGAAGTGGCGGGAAATCGACCGCTTTATTGAGGAAACAATCACCGGTTTAAGCGCAATACCGCGCGCAATTACCAAGTAAAATATAAAAGAGGGCCGTAAACTTCACCGTGACACCATTGTCTGCAAAAGAGAGACAATAATTTATAATTCGGCGGTCGCGTGCCGAAAAAAATACAATCCAAAGAAGAGTGTGCATTATTTGTGCAGCAAACTTTCACTTTCGTTCGCAGGAGTGCACCATCATGTTGTTGATCATGTTGATGCAGTGCAGATTTCTCTGCTTTTTTATACATACACGGCGAGTGAAACCGAAATCGCAATGCATGCATTGTTGAATCACTGTGCACGAGCAGCGAGCCGGCCGACGAAATAACGTGTTGCGTGCGATTCAGGTCACTGGGTCACCAGTCATAAGGCACACCAGCCGGGAAAACACCTTCACTCGTTTCGCTAATGAGAGAAATCGCAGCGCATATGCAGCTCAAATAGTTTTGCTCGTTGCTTCACAATTCATTGCCAATCAATTTCTCCACCCGAGAGCCAAGCCAGTGGCTTATCTCAAAAATGCTTCCGTTTCCTTTAGAAATTAGGTAATTGCTCAGATAAGATTTTTGTTTGGAGAGGAAAGATAAATTCTGAGAGTGGAAAACGCCTAGACCGGTTGGTAAATCCTTTGTATAGTCGGTTTCAATTTCGTTAAAATAAAAATGAAGAGACCTTTGATATTTGAATTTGTCTAGAAAATATTGTAAACAGATGATCTAAAAATTGTTAAAATATTACATTGTTATGCGTCCAATTATTTTCACCGTGAAATCAAGCAGTAAATGAGTAAATTGATCAATGAAAAACTTTTGAAAAATTTATAGCAATTATATAGAATACAATTTTTCTTTTGTAATTTTACTAGTTTTCAATAAAATGCACTTTTTGATTGTAAATTAAAAAGAAAATTTTTAGATCGATAAATCTTTTACCTTAATTTAAGTTTATCGATTATCTAGTGACGTATTTACAAAAATAGTATTTTGCGTTTATCCTCTACTGATATAACTTTGGCGCTTGTTTGTGAGGCACCAAATGTTGACTCTTGGACTTTCGCCACAAAGGACTAAAAATTCTTCTTTTCACTCCCTGCTATTATCGTCGTTGCCTATTTCCCAACAACTTTTTTACAAGCTTCTCATTCCGCCTCTTTTTTGTATTTTCGCAGGGCTGTGACCGACCCTCGAGATGGCCGCAGAGTCGCTCTCAAGAAACTGCCCAACGTATTCCAGTCACTCGTGTCATCGAAACGTGTCTTCCGAGAGCTGAAAATGTTGTGCTTCTTCAAACACGAAAACGTAAGTACCTCTAGGCTAAAGAAGCTCCAAGTATTATTATGTATGTAATAGAAAATAAGATTATGCAAATAAAAAAAAAAATTAGATAACCGAGAATAAATTGACAGCTCACTCGGGACGAGGTTTATTTATATGTATTGACAAGTTGCAAATTGAATTAGAATGGGAAAAAAACGAGGCAACACTGCCTGTTAGTGGAAATTGGCGGATTTCACGCTCGCGACGTGCCGACGATTTCTAACTGCGAATTTTTTGTCACTGCTGCAGTGACGCGCGTTTGGTTTTTGCTCAACTTGACACGTCAAACAAACCAGATAATTATGTGTGTGACTATTGGTTTCTTTAGGAGGAATACTTTTCTTTTGTGCTCAATAATTATTTTGAAATTCTGCACAACTGATAACTAACAATGGTTATAAAAGACTTAAGGGATTTCCTTTGAGAGAGCTTAAATAAATTTTATCAGTTTGCTATATCATTTGCCTTTGCAACTCTTTCAGCCATTGACCTTTCTTTCTCCGCCCAAATTCGTCCACATTTTGAACAATGGATGTTTTTTTATTATGTTTGCTATCTTTTAGAATAGAAGAATTAGGCAATTTCTCATGTTCGATTTCTAATGAAGCATGAAAAAATATATTTAATTTTTAAAGAAATTTCTTACAATTTTGTCAGAAAAAAAATCATAAATTGCTTTGGTGATTTTTTTTTTTTTTAATTTTCTTCTCCTAATATTTTCAAAGCTCTTTTTATTTATATTTAAATTTATATTAATTAATTTAAGTCTATATTATTTACTCAAAAGCATTAACTTTCATTACAAATCTCACCCTTACTTAGTTCTTATTTTATAGCAAAATTATTACTAAAAAAAACTAATTACTTTGCGCTTTTCCGGTGAAATAACAGCAGAAATTAATTAAGGCTGTTGAAGCGTGTGTGTGTTTGCAGTTGGTTGGAGGAGCGTACGGTAAAGCTGGTGTGTACATTGGTACACCCGCTACTTTTGCCCGTGTAATCCATCATGGCATAACATTATCCGGCGTGTGCGCGCTGCACCAGTTGGCCTAGTTTTTCTTAGAACGCTGCATGAGGAGTCGCTCGTGAACGGACACACCATGCAGTACGGTATATTTTACAAGCTTCCTATATAATGACTCGCAGCACAAAGATAATGGAAATCACGACTTTTCCTGCAGAAAGAAAGAAAGAATCTGGGAGGTGATCCTGTTATGCGCGCCTTTTGTTGCCAACGCGCTCTCTTGGCATCACCCGCGGAAAATCGTCCTACAAATTTTTTAATAAGAAGACCATCATTAAATCCTCCTGAGTTCAGAAATTCTCTTTGTTGCACTGCAGGGTTTCACTCAATATTTACCAATGGTATAGAGTGTAAAAAGAATTCATAAAAATTTGTTTTTAGAACAATTATAAATTTAAAAAAAAAAATGCTAGGAAAGTTTTTTCTCATTTATATCGATTTATTCGATTTATTTATAAATATAAAAACTTGTCGGGACAATGATTTGAAATATTTCGTCTTGAGTAATCTTTAATTTAAAAACCCACTGAGCTGAAATTTGGAAATTTCTTTAATTCTTAGTCCTGGAAACTGTTAATTGTGTTCTCCGTTTAATTTTAAATTTTTAATAAGAAATTTAATCATAAATGATATTTTTTCTTATTCAATGATGTGATTTTGGTCCTGATCAATGTAATGGCCTTGCGTCTTAAACCTTCAGAGACCTCTTAAATTTCGCGTTCCTATAATTATCTCAATGTCAAATCGGCCGTACATCAGATTTAAGCAATTATTGCGTTTTAAAAAGTGCAGACCGTAACGACAGGTACCAGAAATTCTAATTCAGCAGATGCGCTCGCTCGAGTGGAAAGCAGTTAACCCAGCGCTTAGAAAATTATTCACTCGAAAACTCTGCCTTTCTCAAAGTCTCTCCTGCTCGCTTGGCTGCTTCCTCCTTTTTTTTTAAATTCAGGTGAGCAAAATCGAAATGTTTCAAGCAAGAGCGTGAATTTTGGGCCGAGATTAAAATGCGCGGGGATAAGGAAGAAGAATCCAGGCCAGTTTACTTAAAATATTCTTCTTTCGTTAGCTGCGGCAAGGAAATCGGTTGAGCGAAAATAATTTCATCGCACCATTTCTCTTGTGGCGCAGCAGTTAGATTACGGTGCACTCGATTTGCATCCGCTTTAATTCGCTCAAAATCCGCAACACCGCAAACCCAATCAAATTTCACAAAAATAAATGTAATCTGAGACACAAAGAAAATGTGAGTATTGAGATTGGTTTTAAACTTAAGGGTATGGAAGAGTCTGAAAATCTTCATAAAAGTTGATTTATAAATCCACAGGATCTTGGTAACGGTTTAAAAGTTTTTAGTAATTTATTCTTATCATAAAAAGTGTCTGACTCGAAATTCCCAAGCGATTTGTACAAAATCTATGGAAAACTACAGCAGAAAAATTGATTTTGAAAGTGGAATTTTTCTTGCATTAAAATTAAATTTGTTTTATGGTGCTTTAGATTTAGATAAAAAATTCTTAGATCAGCATGAAAATGATAAATAAAATTCCAATTTTCCTGCTGTTGGTGCAGTTTGATTCACGATTTTTTGACCGCAATTCCGTCGCCCCGAGGCGCAAGTTAATTATTCACGCCGGGTGCAGGAATAGATTTTGCAGCGATTCTTGGCGCCCGTTCGGGAGCACTGCTCGTGCAAACTTGTGTATTTTGAGCTGCAGTTGTCTTTTTGCACGCGCGCCCAAAATACCCCGGGGCCTTGACTTGCAGCTCGCAAGAGACATCGCCCTTCAAAGTGATTCATTCGCATGCAAGCTGCGCACCGAGGAAGAAGAAGAAGAAGATGAGTGTGTATAATAAAAACTCAATGTACTCTTAAGAAATGAGTCGCACGGGATATGCGATCATGCTGCCTTGAGTCGCGCGGCCGCAACGGATTCGATTAAAGTCTCCGCATCAATAAAGATCAAAATATTCCGTGGTGATCTCATCTTTCAACGAACGCAGGATTCAAATGAATGGAATTGCTCGCGGTTGACATCCCCGACCACGTGTCAAGTCCATTTCATTAAACTCAGAGTTGAAATATAAATTCAAAAATAAATGGCTAAAATTAATTTTAAAATGCTAACATTTGTCCAGCCGGTTAAATGGTTAAAAACGCTGATGAATTGAAATTAGTTTAAAGTGGATTTTAAACTGATTTTAACTAAAAATTGGTCAAAAAGAAACCAATGAGGCAATTTAAAGGCTTAAAATTTTGTAATTTGCTAGGTGACTCGAGGGTCGCAATTCGATTATTCTGATCCGACCTCACAGTAAACTTTCCAATCGTGCGTTATTCACTTATTTTCTGGCCGAATTTGGAGATTATATGTTTAAAAATTTTCTGAAGGCTCGAATTTTCCGTTTCCAAATTTAAAACCATGCCTGACGTTAATTTTGGTAAAAAAAAAAGCAAAGCTAAAATACCTCGAACACGTTTAGAGGAAATTAATAGACGCGAAGTTGAAGAGATCTGAAGAAAACTAAATTATTAATTTTTTTTTTTCAAAATTCAAATTTTAATAAGGAGTCGATTACGCTGCTGAAATAATGTTTTATTCCTCTATTTGTAAATATAATTTTCTGATTTTTTACTTTTTTGTTTCAGGTTTTGTCGGCGCTGGACATTTTGCAGCCTCCTCATCTCGACTTCTTTCAAGAAATGTATCCTTTCGTGCAAACACGCACGTGTTTGGTGCTTCTTTGTTTAGTTGGTGGAAATGATTCTCGTCCAGGGCACCCACATTGTTTGCTTTTCAAATTGCTCCATTATTGAAATGCTGCCACAGGGCTGGATTGTTTGCTTATGCATGAGATCGCGGGATCCGTCAGTCCGCTTTTGCGTCACAAAACTTCTTCATTCCGAAGTGAAGAGAGTGCAACAACCACTCAACCGCGTTGTGTGCACATCCATCCAACGTGGCGAAACTTGTTGGCGCGCAATTAGAGAACAATGGCGACACGAAATGGCAAAAATTGCCACTTTTAAATAAGGAATAAGGGTTGGGAATTTTAGAATTTCATTTTTCGGGGAGAAAAATAATTTGAGAGACTGGATTTTTTGAAGCACACGTGCTGGTTCAGAATGAAGCGCTGAATTTCCGTTCTGGGAAAAACAAAATGAAAACGGTGTGACCTATTTTCTGTAAATCACAGCCCGCAACTTCCGCAATTTTAAAATTATCATTCGTGAAAATATACATAGTATGAACGAAATTGCTTTCTATAGGAAATTTGGCTGAAATTGAAATGAAAATCGTTGACCTTCTGCAAAATCTCCCATTAATATTTCATAATATTTTGAACTGCTTATTTCATCCTCAATATATTATGGAGTCCATGAAATGGAAATTTATTACTGCAAAGGTTATTTCAGGTTGTTCAGCTTATAAAAATGCAATTTTTGTGTTCCATTCAATGGCCCCCATATGATTCAAATGTTTTTGCTTAAACATTTGCCACAATTTTAAGGTAAATTTTCCAAATGAATTTTAATTTTGGGTTCGTTCATATTTACTTATGCTTATTTTCATTTAGTAAGATTATCTGAATGAGAAATAAACCTTTTTTTAATTCCCATAAGATGCCAAAATTTTTTATTTCAGATAATTAATTTTTTTAATTTGCTGAACTGATTTTAATAAACGCGCTTCTCCATAAAAATTCAATTTCATTAAAATTGCTTTCGCTTTGCTCAGCATTTTCCAGTACTCAAATAATGATGCAATTCCAACGAAACAATCTAACATTAGAATTTCTCTGCATTTTGAAGTTGCTCAATTAATTTTTATACTTTTCCATTTGTGGAAGTGGCGTGTGCCGGTGCACGCAGCATTTGAACTCGGGTTGACCTTGCGACCTTCGCCGTGGCCTTAGGTGCTGGAAAATCGATGCGGCGGCTCCACATTAGATGTGGCGCCAAGCAAAATCCCGGCCGAGAGCTGCCGCTGCTGCACTCGACCAATTCGCACGTGGAGCGCAAGGAATAATTTTTCGCGCCGCTCCTGCCTTCTTGTGTCCCTTTCGACCCGCCGGTCTATATTTGATACAGCGTTGGGTAAACCAGACGCGAGGCCGACGCTATTTTTGGACCGTTTTTGTAAGTGTTTGGCGTAAATCAATACAATTAACTACGGCAGACCTAGATACACGTTGGGCTCAAAAAGTGACACGTCATTTTGTGCGAATTAATTGCTGGTTAAATTTTATTAATTCGTTGTTGAAACTTTGCAAAAAGAAAAGAGGTAAATTGTTGTTTTTGTTTTCAATTTAAAAGCGGGATTGAAATGTTTGATTAAAATTTAATTTCGTCGAGTTTTATTTGTTTCGGAATATATAAGTTTCGGAAATAGGACTTGTGACATTTTCCTTTCCATGAAGGTTTCCCTTTCACAATGCAAAATTAATTAACTTCCTTTTCATGTTGCAACTCTCGCAAGTTTGAACCCCAAAAAGTGCGTCTTTGGCGTAGCTCGTTCGCAACGCACCGACGGATGCAGCAAGAAAGTGCAATTGCAGGGATGCCCATTGCACATTTAAATTTCAACTTCATTGAAACTGCATGGGAGAAAGGGCATATTTATTTATATTTACCATGACCGGCACGAGACCGAAAAGTGAGATAATTATGCATCTCTGGGCAGTCTCGCATGGGGAGAAAATGTATTTTAATTTATGCCGGCATATGGAGACGCACTGGTGAAAATGAGACAATGCGCCACCTCGTAAAACTGAAGAAAAAGTTTTTTTAAATAAGACCATTTACTTTTGATCCAAATAAAAATTTTGATCAGTAGGAAATGAGTTAAACTGTTATGAGTATATGAAGATAGGTTTTTTATGCGAATATGAGAACTTTATTCCAGTAATCACCCTTTTAATGGCGTGACGCAATGTTTTTATTCAGAAATAGATTCCTTTTGATCCTAGCCTTTTTATCAATGCTTAAATTGTGTTTGCGAGTCAGATTTGTTTTAAAAGTAAAAAAAAAAACGCTTGTAAGACCAGCCATTGAAAATTTCAAACAAGAGAAAGAAAATACTAAAATTTTGATTGCAATAATGTCCAATGAAGAATAAAATAACATATTTTGACCCTCTGAATCTATTTAAATGGTATTTTTTTAAGTTTTTAATTAAATTTAAATTATATCTGATAAAATTGTCTGAAAAGAGCGAATTTCAACAAAACGTGCTTTTAAAAACAAAAGTAAACATATTTTTAGCGCAGGCTTTGTGTAGTTTTTTCCCCTTTGTTGATTGTGGCACATTTTGCGAGGGGGTGGCAAACGGTCAAGTTGCGTGCCGCGGATTAAAATACCTGCGCCCAAGCCGGGTGTAATTGGAATTTGGGCTGCTGCATTTTGAGCGGCGCGGCGTCGCCATGGTGACGCCGCTCGGCGGCGCTTCGTGCGCGCAGCCCCGCCGCGGGGGTGGCTTTTGCAAGGGCGCAATCGATGCGATCTCGCGCACGTTATGACAATGCGACGGAGCTCAATGGATTCGGCGCTGGGGCAGGCACGCGGCGCCCTCCCAGCCCAGAAAATCGGCCGGCCGATAGGGTGCACCGCCCTACAAACCGCCCCCAACCACGCGTGCCTGGAACCCTGGGATTTGACCAAAAGCGGAAAAACTGACGCCTTGGAAAAAAATTTTGGGCCGAGAAAAAAATTATAATTTTTTGTGTGTATATTTTTTTAATTATAATCGCTTTATTGCGAGGCACTCTAGAAAATACTTATTTCAATGTTTAAAATTAAAAGAAATCATAATATTTATAAGAATTTTAAATTAGTTGTTTTTCCAACTTTTCTTAACTATGAATTTTTCTCCTCAAATTAGAAATAATGTAATTTCTATTTTAATATTTACTAATGTGCGGCCAACAAATTTTATTTAATTGTCAATAATTGCAGAGAAATATGTAAATTAACTTCACATTTGTCCGATTGTTAAATTACAAAATCGTGTTTAATTTGCGGGTGTGACAGACTTTGAGCGAACAATCACGCACCCCTGGGGCTACGCTGCTGCGAATCATAATGAAAATCGCAATTACCCTAATGACTGGCTCGCAAGCAGACTCTTTCTTTCTTTCTTTCTGTCTGCCTTGATCTCGTCAATTACTACGAGCTAATTTTGGCCGTGCCAAATTAAAAGCAGAGTTTATTCTGTTGAAAAGAAAAATGTCGCCAATTTTTTTAGTTAGGATGTTGCTTTTTTAAACAGGCTTCCCTTGTACATTTTTTATCTAGCCACTTGAGAGACTGTTTGCGATTTTTCCTTAATTGAACTGGCACAGATATGTCATAACGGAGCTGCTGCAGAGCGACCTGCATAAGATCATAGTGTCTCCCCAGCACCTCTCTGCCGATCACATCAAGGTTTTCCTCTACCAGATTCTCAGAGGTGAGTGTTTTTTTATATTTTATTTTCTCTCACATCTTCCATCAATTTCCCCTTTTAATTAGGCTGTGTATAGGATTTAATTTCCGTGCTAATTCTGCAATCACCGCTTTTGATTGGTGGGAATTTTTAATTGCCCAATTGAATCGAGCTGACTAATTGGGAAGAAGTGCGACTCGGGGGAAAAGTTGTGCGCACTTGGCCGCTCGGTTGACACGGTTTTTCTCTGGTTTTAATGCGCACTCAACATTAAATTTAATTCAGCTGAAAGTCCCGTTGCTCAAATCATAAATCTACTCACTCTCTATCCTAGTTGCGCCAGTCGGTACACCAGGCAGGTCTCTGCCTCGCCACCTGTAGCCCCACAGTCACGTTTATTCCACTTCGGTTAACGATTTAAAGCTTATATATATGCTTCTGTGAAATTGAGTTTTTATTGAAAAAAGAATTTAATCTTTAACACATGATGCATTTTTTAATCATTTGAGATTCACAGTTTTGAATATCCAATTTCAATTTAATTTGTTGATTTTTTGTATTACCAAAAATAATGATGGTCACTTTAAATTTTAATCAAGAGCTATAGATTCATTCAACGTTAAAGTAATGAAAAGTCTCTTTATTTATGTAAGATATTGATAAAGTCATTTTTATTTTATCAAATGGTGAAATCCTATCAATTTCCAATTTTTACTTTTTCTGTTGATTGGAAATAATTAATAAGAAATCATGAATGAATAAATAAATTGAACTCTTAACAAAATGTAATATGAAATAACATTATAATTGAGTCAGGATTGTTAAGTATTTTGTTAAATTTTCCTCCTCCATTTTTCATATTAATTACTTTTACCAAACGAATTCCTCTTAAACAATTTTATTTTTTAACTGAATCATTAATAATTTTTTCAATATTTATTGAATCAACTTTAATTCTCTGAACCCATCCTTCATCATTCTCTTTGTTCCATTCTTTTTAAGAACTGTACAGGAAAAAAAATGTTTCCTGATATTATTCCGCGTAATTGCTGACCATCATTCTTATTTTGTTGCAGGCCTCAAGTATCTGCACTCCGCAAGGATTTTACATCGAGACATAAAGCCGGGAAATTTATTAGTCAACAGTAATTGTGTGCTCAAGGTAAGGTGTAATTTGGCCTAATTGCACGTCTGGCTCTAACCCTCGGATTCTTCTTTCGCAGATATGTGATTTCGGTCTGGCGCGAGTGGAGGAGCCGGATCGGTCGCGGCACATGACCCAGGAGGTGGTCACCCAGTACTACAGGGCGCCCGAAATCCTGATGGGCGCCAGGCACTATTCGGCCGCCGTCGACGTCTGGAGTGTCGGCTGCATTTTCGGCGAACTCCTCGGCAGGCGCATCCTCTTTCAGGCGCAGAGTCCCATCCAGCAGGTGAGAAATTTTTCATTTTTTTCTTTCCAAAATAAGATTTACTTAGAATTATGAAACTAATGAAGCATAGTTATAATATTTATTAGTTTATAAAATATTGTATCGGCCAGCAATTCAGCAAATGTTTATTTAAATCATCAGATCTGAAAATTAAAAAAAAAATGTTACCCAGAAAAATAATTTGTATTATTTTTGCAGCTTGAGTTGATTACCGACCTGCTGGGAACGCCCGCCCTGGATGACATGCGCCACGCCTGCGACGGAGCGCGCGCTCACATGCTACGGCGGCCGCAGCGTCCTCCCTCACTCACTGCCCTGTACACCCTGTCTGCACAGGCAACTCACGAAGCAGTCCACCTGCTCTGCCAGATGCTTGTGTTTGATCCGGTAAGTTTAAACGATTAATTAATTTAATTTATATTCAATTTTCTTATATTTTTAAAGTTCTCTAGCATAAATTCTTTTTTAGTTTCTTATGTGCATGGTAAAAATACATCTTAAATTAAAGTAACTAAAACTTTTTTTTAAATATTGATTTTAATAAATTTACTTTAAAAAAAAATTTACAATGTTTTAAGAAAAACATGTAACTATAATTTTTGTATTTAGCCTCTCTTCTGTCCGATTTTAATTCTACTGATATAAATATTTTATTCATTATGAATGACATTGAAGTTTTTTTCATCCAATCTCTTTGAACGCAGATAATAATTTTCTGTTACATATAATGTAATTTAAAATGAATTTATAGTTTCTTCAATTTGATTATGATTATTTTTGTGCCTCAGGACAAGCGGATCTCGGTGGTGGACGCCCTGGCCCACCCGTATTTGGACGAGGGCCGCCTTCGGTACCACTCGTGCATGTGCAAGTGCTGCTACACGACCCCTGCAGGTCTGCGGCAGTACACCTCTGACTTCGAACCGGCTGCTACGATGCCTTTCGACGACCTCTGGGAGAAGAACCTCAAGTCGGTGCAGCAGGTCAAAGGTACAAGCTGAGCAAAATTGTGCAAATCTCTAGATTAACAAATGCGATTTTACAGAGGAAATGCACAAATTCATCAGCGACCAACTGAACACGAGCAGAGTGCCGCTCTGCATCAATCCGCAGTCGGCAGCATTCAAGAGTTTTGCCAGGTAATTTTTGGTCGGCTTCCGCTCTGCTGGTTTGAAATGAAAACGGACGTCAGCAACACATGCACGGAATTCGTTTGAGCCCCTTTTCCTCATTTCGAAGCTTGAGTTTGTTCATTTTTTTAAAACACACACTGGACTTTGCATTCGGCAAAGAAGAATTCGGAGGGTGGCCGCGCGCGCGCAACTCGACCCACCCTCTGTCTGTCAATGAAGCCTGCTGCCTTGATTAAGTTTTATTTCATTCTGTAAATAAATTAGCTTTTAAAAAAAGAGGCCCTTGAAAAAATTACAATTAATTTTAATAAGTCGGATAGGAAGGCAAGCGGGCCGTTGATGAGTTGATTAGCTTTCTTTATTGTGTTTGGCCTGAGTTTTTCTTTCTTGTCTTGTTATTGTGTAGTATTGTGTAAAAGCTGCTTGCCACTGATGATTTAGTGAGAGAGGACTAACTTACTTTTGGCTCGCCTCTAACTGATCGATTGTCTCGTTTGATCTAGCTCGGCTGTTGCCCACCCTTGTGAACTTCCTCCATCACCCAGAAACTGGGAGTAATTCTGCTGAGAAACAAACTAATGCACCAGCGGAGGAAAAGCTAAATTTAGAGAAACAATTAACAACCCCCTCTCAATCGAATCACTCACTATCAGGAATTGTAATAAACTACACTAATTGTTGCCGATTAAACGAATCAATGTTAAACTAGACAAGAAGGCACATTTTCGGTGCTGCTCGGAATCGAAAAACTCAGAAACACTCGGTATATTTTCTCTAGACTACAAAAAAAATCGAAGAAAGAAAGAAAGTTATACATGTTAACCATACAATATCACCTATGTGAAAAGCGAAAAAGGTATTTCCAAGGATCTCAAGACTCTTTATGTTGTAAATAATGCTGATTGTAAAAATCTTGTGAGGAAAATTAATAACTTTGTTCAGCAAAGATGCTTTGAGAAATATCTGACTATTTGTGTGTGCGAGTGAAACAAACAAAAAAAATTGGTGGACACGTTTGTGACTTCGGGCGTGATGGTTTTAATTTATGTGATGATGCTAAAGATTTTATATTAATCTTACTTTCTGAAACGTGGGAGTAGTGGAGTTATGATCTCAAATGACACACGACGGTTTTCACCCCTTGGCAACCGTCTTGATAATAACATTTACCAACTAACTAACTATCTTATGTATAATCCGATAATTTATATATGCGAGAGCAACTCTAACGCCAGCTAACTTGACAAAAAAAAATCATAGAAATAACAACTCCTTAATCGACGCTCACTTCTTTGAAAATTCCAATCAAACAGGTGCCGACATTCGATAAACACAAATTAGATAACTAGCCACGAATTTTTCTCAAATTACCACCGCAACACACACTGCAAACTTCATGTAACCCGCCCATATTGTGGTGTTTATTGCATGTAAAAATATATTAAACTGTACCTTTTGGGGCCTTAAAATACTGAAGATTAATGTTACATGTCCAAACACCCAAATAATCAGGAAACTAGTGGGAAATTCATCTAATTATCTTTCACTTAAAAAAAAATTGAAACAGTCACTCTGCCGAGTTCAGCGGGTTTAGAAGTAAAAACATATCCAGCTAAGGGTAATTGTTCGAAAAAGCGCTGAACCCAATTAAAATTTTCACTTTTGGGGTCCTTTTCTGTCTTAGAACATTCACCAGAGTCACTGCCATTGACTATTCCAGCTTCTCCTTTTGCATGTTCGTAAAAAGTAATTATTCCCAATCGATTCAGAAACTTCAGTGTATAAACAAACCCTTGCACTAACTCAAGCAATTTATATATAAATACACACACACACACATAAATAGCCCTTTTTTGCAACAACTATATATTGTTACATACTAGGCGTCTCTTACTTGTGTGTTAATCATAAAAATATGGAAGCAAATTGAAAATCTTAAAGTGGATGTGCGTGTATAATTAACTTAAATGTGGTGAATGCAAGAAGAGGATGAAACAATTTACGGAGCCTAAAAAATTTTTGGAGAAAACAATGAACGCGCGATTTCCTCTTTCCACCAAGAAACGCCTCCAGAACCCAAAGAGTTTTGAACCAATTAAGAGGATTAATGAGAAAATTATTCTATTCTGCCTGCTGCTTTTTTGATTATGACGATTCTTACCACTCAGGGACATAATCAATTTTCCACTTTCATTGTACACCTTTTGACTTTGGTAAAGCAATAGATCTGTCGCATTATTCAACACACAATCAAACCTCTATCAGGAGTAATTTTTAAAACAAAACCGCTATGATTTTTTCAGCATCATTCGTGGCCTTAAAATTGTTTTACTTCTTGAGTATTTAACAATTATATAATGAAATCACACTCACACACAGCTTGTACAGTAGGATAGCAAACAAACAAGGCTGAATCTTTTCATTTAAAGTTTTGAAGGAAAAAGTAGCTGGTTCGAAATAATTAAATAAACACATTACGTTCACCCTTTGTTTAGGTCAAGTACATACAAATTCCATCCACCTTCAGTAAAAAAAAAAATATTATATAAATTGACAATAGAAGGGGAATCCTGTAAATATTGTACATATTAACGACTAGTAACTTAACCCTTTGAGGAAAAAACTTAACATTCAGAAGAGATTTCTTTGCTGGAAGAACGGTGGCTGCGCGTGGAATTTGGGGTGAATTGTAAAGAGAGCAAAAAAAACTTGATTAGCTTATTATTTTATCTCTTGAGATAAACCAGCACGTTTTCGTAATTCAGCATATCTGTGTTATTTCATCATTTTTAATGTATTCATTGCAATTCTGTCCATTGTAGCGACAAAAATGAAATGTATTTGCGTGTCATGTTAGTGATGATCATATGTTGTGGTGTTGGATTAAAAAAAAAAAGCATTCGGCCGGTTTTCAGGCCTTGATCGAAAACTATGTGAAGAAAAACTTATGAAAAAGTAACATTATATCGCACTCACTTGCGGCGGTGATCTAATTTGCACTTGGAGCAAGGAATGAGTGTTGTGTAATTAACGCCGATTTCATTTCTGTGTAAATACAAATAGTGATTTGCTAAAAAAAAATCTATATAAAATGCGTAATAAAGCTAGATGTGTAATTTTTAATTCTTCTCTTTTATTTCAAGATCCTATGCAGGTTTGGTGAGAAACAAAGTCCATTCATTTGAATTTTTACAAAGCTATTTATTCTTAATTATTCATTTGCGTGTTACAAAATAAATTGTTCGCTGTCATATGCTCAAAATAGTTCTAAATAAGGAAACCATTTTTTCCCATTAATATTATAGCTTAAAGTTATTAGTTTTTTTAAAAAGCATTTTCTTTCTTCATTAGATCAACAGTAAAATAATTGAAAGGGGACGAGTATGCATTGGAAGACGAAAAAAAAATCAGTTAAAACTCTCGAGTTATGAAATTTTGACTAAGTATGTTACAAATTCAGATTGGCACATTTTTTTCCAAAGATCAAAAAAATTATTTAGCGGACTTGGGCGCGTAGAACTTGTGCTCCTTGGTGTCCCGTTTGTGACGATAGGAGGATTTTTCCGTCTCAAGCAGCGCGGCTGGGCAGGGTCCAGAGTGGACGACGACGTACTCCTTGCGGTAGGACGAGTTGGAGTCAAAACCGGTGTTACCAAAGGCAATGTGGGAGGACAGCTGTTTGCCCTTCTGCACTTGGGACACCCTTTGTTGTTGCTGCCCAGAGAAGTTTCCGTAGGACTTTGCCTCGCTCTGTCCGTAAAAAGCGCCGCTGCCGACGCTGAGATTGTCGTGGCGCACCACCCTTTCGGCCCGCTGCCCACCCTGGATGACCCTGGCCTCGTTAGAGTGGCGGTGCAAGGTGGACAGACTGACCCGGTTTGCGTTCTGTTGGTTGTAGGAGGAGGCCGATTCGGACAGGTTGTTGATGCTCTTCCGCTGGCTCAGCGCCGACATTGAGGACACATGAACCGACTCGCTGGCGGCGGCGTTGCTCTTGCGGTGCAAGACCGAGTTGCTCACATCCTCGGACGTCGCCGAGATGACGCTCTTTCGGTGGTGTCCCTCTGAGAGATTCTGCTGGCTGCGCGAGTCGGACAAATGGAGGGCACTTGAAGAGGAGGACTTGCTGATGTTCTGCATTGAGCTGGAAGTTGCCAGATGTGCACTTTGTTGTCGAGTGGAATTCGAGACTTGTCCCGATTCTTGAACAGAGCTGGACGACTTTCGGACATTACTGGAAACTTGTCCCGTTTCTTGAATCAAGCTGGACATTTGTCCTCTCTGCTGCCGCATAGAGTTGGAAACTTTTTCCGATTCGTGAATCGAACTGGAGGACTGAGCTTGGCTGGACGACCTACGGACAGAACTGGACACTTGTCCCGATTGTTGAATCGAACTGGACATTTTTGCCGTCTGTTGCTGGACAGAGGTGGAGGCCTGTGCTGTTTCTTGAACCACCCTAGATGACTGAGCTTGGCTTGTCGATTGCTGGCTAGACTGGCGGACATTCGTGTCTGTTCCCATTGCATTCATGATCTGCGACGAACTTTCAGAAAAGTGCTTGGTGTTTACGGCAGAGGCCTTTCTATGAGAAATTTCGCTCTGCTTCTGTTCGGATGCCACAGTGGTGCTCGTGCGAGTCGATACTTGATCTTCAACCACATGGGCCATTGATCCTGAAACGGTCTTAGAGGGCGAGTTGGTGTCGTAGGTTGATGACCTTTTGGTGGTCGTCACAATACTTCCATCCGGCATAACCCTGGTCTCCGTGTTTGTGTTGGAAGTAACGTTTGAGTGCGCCAGTCCAACTTCGGTAGCCTTTTTGGTCGTTGCGTTATTCCGGGCGACGGTTTGGCGCCGAGTGGTCGAGGCCTCAACCATGCTCTGCATGTCGTTGCCCAACGAGAAGGACGAGGTCATCTGTTTCCTCCTGTCCACGTGGGTCATGTTGTTGTAAGCAGTGCTACTCTTAGTGGTTGCAGTCTTTTCAAAAGCGGATTGATTCACAGATCTGCCTTCAAAGGAGCCTTCCATTTTTATATTGTCCGTCGGCTTTTTAACATCTGCCCTTTCGCCCACAACAATCCTGCTCTTCTCTCGTGTGTCTACGAATTCTCCTTCCATTTTGAGATTGTCTTGGTGTTTTACTGTGGAGAACCTCTCACCCCTAACAGGAGTGGTCTTCTCTCGTTTGGCAAAGTCTCCCTCGGGTTTGAGATTATCTTGCGGTTTTTTCACTTCGGCTCTTTCGCCGCGCTTAGGAACAAAGTCGTCAGAAGGACGACCTTCGAATTGACCTTCAGGTTTCAGGTTGTCCTTGTGCTTGAAGGGGGAGGGTCTCTCGCCAGGTCCGTACTGTTGCTTCTGGGGCCGATCAAAGTCTCCTTCAACCTTCAGATTATCAGGATGTTTGATGGGAGACTGGCGCTCTCCAGGGCCAATAGTGCTCTTGGTGGGTCTGTCAAAGTCACCTTCGGGCCAGAGATTATCTGCATGTTTTATTGGCGCCTGCCTCTCACCAGGGCCGTACTTTGGCTTGTCAGGGCGATCAAAATCACCTTCCACCTTCAGGTTGTCTGGGTGCTTTACAGGAGATTGTCTCTCGCCAGGTTTGAATTTGTCCTTCTCAGGACGATGGAAGTCTCCCTCTACTTTGAGATTGTCAGGTTGTTTGATGGGTGATTGCCTTTCTCCCTGCCCAGGCTTCTCTCGTTCTTTTGAGTAAAACTCGCCTTCTGGCTTCAAATTGTCCTGAGGGCGCTTCACCTCTGCTCTATCTCCAACAAGTGGAGCGTTTTTCTTGGGGCGGTTTTCAAATTCACCCTCAACATGGAGGTTGTCAACTGGCTTTTTCACATCAGCGCGCTCGCCCTTTACAATCTTATAGTCATCGCGTCTCGAATGGTCAACAAATTCTCCTTCTATGTGCAAATTATCCGTCCTTCTCTGAATGACAGCTCGCTCACCTTTTACAATCTGGAATAAAAATATAAAAATTCTTAATCTGTTGTACTTATTATAACATGTTCTATAACTATTATATAACTTTTGTAAAAAATTAACTAAAGAAAAATGTATATTAATTGGATTTCATTTAAAAGAATAAATAAATAAAAAATAATTTTAATATAATCTGTTTTATTAAAATATTTTTTTCTATTAGAAAATTTTTATTTAAAAATTAATCATGTTGTAAAGATGACTAGAGAGAGAATTTGCCTTGTGTATATTGGCTTGCATGTCTCATCAAATATGCGCTCGGCGCCGCATCTGTGTTTCTTTACGAACGCACAAAGGAGTTAATATTTTATCTCTCGTTTTAATTTTTCTTTTATATTCAAGAATAAAAAAAAAATTATTTTCCTATTTAATTAAAGTAAATAAATTCCTTTAAATTATTTGACCACCCATCGTTTTTGCCTCAGCTAGGCGGATGTTTCTTTTGTTCAAGTAGAACAGCTATAAAAGTTGAAGCCTTTGATTAAATTTTAAATTAAATAAAGGGTTCCTTCTACATTTTATAGTGATCCTGACCAATTATAATAAATTTTAAAAATTTTAGCACTGAATATAATAATCAATAAATAACCCCTTAACCCACGCACTTTTATGTTCAGAAATGATGAATAAAATTACCTTGTATTCATTCCTTGAAGAATATGAACGGTCAAATTCACCTTCCAGTCTCAAATGGTCCTCATGGACAACAATTGGCGCCCGTTCTCCTCTTACAGCATTGTTGTCTTTTTTGGGTTTGAAATCAAAATCTCCTTCAGGATGCAAATTGTCTTGGGGCTTTTTCACATTGGCACGCTCGCCTTTGCCCGGAGCCTCTTGCCTTGGCCGACCCTCGAAGTCTCCCTCGACTTTAAGGTTGTCCGGGTGTCTAGTTGGTGAAACTTTTTCCGCAGGACGATATGGTGCCTGGGATGGTCGGTCAAAGTCTCCCTCTGGGTGCAAATTATCCTGGTGCTTGATAGGTGATGGCCGTCCGCCCTTCGGCGCTTGATCCTTAGGGCGTCTTTCAAATTCACCTTCCGGTCGTAGGTTATCTTGGGGTATGCGCACTTCGGCCCGCTCACCGCGAACTGGGCCTTTGTCAGAGGGGCGTCCATGGAACTCTCCTTCAGGTCGGAGGTTGTCCTGAGGCCGTTTAACTTCGGCGCGCTCACCTTGGACGTGGGTAAATTCATTTCTAGCAGTGTGGTCGATGAACTCACCCTCGATGTGCAAGTTGTCTTTTTGAATAACTCGCGTGCTCCTTTCAATTTTCTTCACCTAAAATTAATTATAAAAAAATTGAAAAATCATAGATTTTTTTAATATACCGAATATTCATCTCGAGATCGATAACTGTCATCAAATTTGCCCTCCATGTGCAAGTGATCTTCGTGGACAACCACGTCAGCTCTTTCACCCTTAGTAGGAGCGTAGTCATTTCGTCTTTGCGGTTCATATTCTCCCTCCGGTTTAAGGTTGTCCTTGTGTCGAACTATTTCTACCCGCTCTCCACGGAAAGCCTACCAAGGAAGTAACGCAATTAATTTTTAAGCAGAATGTATGAATCCAATGAATGTTTTAGAATTAATTTCTTATTTTAGAGCCACGATTTGTGATTTGTGTGTTCCAGAAAATTTATTTATACCAAGATTATTATTCTTTGCAAAAAAATCAATGCCTAATTTCTTTTTTAAATTAAATTTTTTTACTAAGTTTGCAAAAAAGTAAGTCTCACTTTGTGATTTTATTACTACATTAAATTTTGATGTAATAAATATGCGTAATATATAAATATTCAACATGTTATAAATATAACATATATTCATTTGTATGTTTTTATCTTTACATAATATATGTATTACTCTTTCAAGTAAATTTTATCGTACCTTGAAGTCATTTCTTGAGCGTGAGCTATCATCAAATTCTCCTTCGACAATTAGATTTGTTTTATGGTGTACAATTTCAGCCCTCTCACCACGAACTGCGTTGTAATCGTCCCTGTGCGTTCTCACAAAGTCGCCCTCCGGTGCCAAATTGTCCTTTGGTTTTTTAATATCAGCTCTTTCACCCTTGAGAGGTGCATTTAGTTTAGGCTGTTTTTCAAAATCTCCTTCCAATTTTAGATTATCTTTTTGTCTGATTGGAGCCGCACGCTCTCCAGGGCCATATATTTGCTTCACTGGTCGATCAAATTCACCCTCCGGTTTCAGGTTATCCCTTTGTTTAATCGGGGACTGTCTCTCGCCAGGGCCAACCTGCTGCTTTGTTGGCCTTTCAAATTCACCTTCTGGTTTCAGGTTGTCAGGGTGCTTCACAGGGCGCTGCCTTTCTCCAGGCCCAAATGATTCCTTCAAAGGTCTTTCGAATTCACCTTCAGGACGAAGATTGTCAGGGTGCTTAATAGGAGTTTGCCTCTCTCCAGGGCCATATATTTGCTTCACTGGTCGATCAAATTCACCCTCCGGTTTCAGGTTATCCCTTTGTTTAATCGGCGACTGTCTCTCGCCAGGGCCAACCTGCTGCTTTGATGGCCTTTCAAATTCACCTTCTGGTTTCAGGTTGTCAGGGTGCTTCACGGGGCGCTGCCTTTCTCCAGGCCCAAATGATTCCTTTAAAGGTCTTTCGAATTCACCTTCAGGACGAAGATTGTCAGGGTGCTTAATAGGAGTTTGCCTCTCTCCAGGGCCATATATTTGCTTCACTGGTCGATCAAATTCACCCTCCGGTTTCAGGTTATCCCTTTGTTTAATCGGCGACTGTCTCTCGCCAGGGCCAACCTGCTGCTTTGATGGCCTTTCAAATTCACCTTCTGGTTTCAGGTTGTCAGGGTGCTTCACAGGGCGCTGCCTTTCTCCAGGCCCAAATGATTCCTTCAAAGGTCTTTCGAATTCACCTTCAGGACGAAGATTGTCAGGGTGCTTAATAGGAGTTTGCCTCTCTCCAGGGCCATATATTTGCTTCACTGGTCGATCAAATTCACCCTCCGGTTTCAGGTTATCCCTTTGTTTAATCGGCGAATGTCTCTCGCCAGGGCCAACCTGCTGCTTTGATGGCCTTTCAAATTCACCTTCTGGTTTCAGGTTGTCAGGGTGCTTCACGGGGCGCTGCCTTTCTCCAGGCCCAAATGATTCCTTCAAAGGTCTTTCGAATTCACCTTCAGGACGAAGATTGTCAGGGTGCTTAATAGGAGTTTGCCTCTCTCCAGGGCCATATATTTGCTTCACTGGTCGATCAAATTCACCCTCCGGTTTCAGGTTATCCCTTTGTTTAATCGGCGACTGTCTCTCGCCAGGGCCAACCTGCTGCTTTGATGGCCTTTCAAATTCACCTTCTGGTTTCAGGTTGTCAGGGTGCTTCACAGGGCGCTGCCTCTCTCCAGGCCCAAATGATTCCTTCAAAGGTCTTTCGAATTCACCTTCAGGACGAAGATTGTCAGGGTGCTTAATAGGAGTTTGCCTCTCTCCAGGGCCATATATTTGCTTCACTGGTCGATCAAATTCACCCTCCGGTTTCAGGTTATCCCTTTGTTTAATCGGCGACTGTCTCTCGCCAGGGCCAACCTGCTGCTTTGATGGCCTTTCAAATTCACCTTCTGGTTTCAGGTTGTCAGGGTGCTTCACAGGGCGCTGCCTTTCTCCAGGCCCAAATGATTCCTTCAAAGGTCTTTCGAATTCACCTTCAGGACGAAGATTGTCAGGGTGCTTAATAGGAGTTTGCCTCTCTCCAGGGCCATATATTTGCTTCACTGGTCGATCAAATTCACCCTCCGGTTTCAGGTTATCCCTTTGTTTAATCGGCGAATGTCTCTCGCCAGGGCCAACCTGCTGCTTTGATGGCCTTTCAAATTCACCTTCTGGTTTCAGGTTGTCAGGGTGCTTCACAGGGCGCTGCCTTTCTCCAGGCCCAAATGATTCCTTCAAAGGTCTTTCGAATTCACCTTCAGGACGAAGATTGTCAGGGTGCTTAATAGGAGTTTGCCTCTCTCCAGGGCCATATATTTGCTTCACTGGTCTGTCAAATTCGCCCTCTGGTTTAAGGTTATCCCTTTGTTTAATCGGGGACTGTCTCTCGCCAGGGCCAACCTGCTGCTTAACTGGCCTCTCAAAGTCACCTTCCGGCTTAAGGTTGTCTGGATGCTTAATGGGACTCTGCCTTTCACCAGGTCTATAACCTTGTTTTTCAGGCATCTCAAAGTTGCCCTCTGTTCTCAAATTATCAATGGGGCGTACAGGCTTCTGCCTTTCCCCGGGATGATAACCAGGTTTGTCAGGTACTTCAAAATCTCCCTCGGGTTTCAAGTTGTCCCCATGCCTAATAGGTTTGCTTCGTTCTCCATTTACGAATGGCACGTCTTTGTGTCTTTCGAATTCTCCCTCTGGTCGAAGGTTATCTTTTGGCTTTTTAATTTCAGCGCGATCTCCAACTGATGGTCTGTAGTCGTCTCGACGTTTGTTGTCCACAAACTCGCCCTCAATGTGAATATTATCAACTTGTTTGATTAGCTGACTTCTTTCAACGCGAACAGCCTAAAAATATATTAATATTTTTTTTAATGGCATCAATTTATTAGACTGTGGCAAATTAACAACAATAAAAATTAATAATTAAAAAATTAAAGAAATCCTATAGTTTCTTAAATCTTTGGGAAAAGAAAATAATATTAATTTAATTTAAAAAAAATACTACCTTATAATCATTTCGCGAGCGAGTAGTGTCATAGAATTCTCCTTCAATCTTCAATTGGTCCTCGTGTCTCACTATTTCAGCACGCTCTCCTTTCACAGCATTGTAGTCATTTCTCGAAACCATTTCATATGTTCCCTCTGGGTGCAAATTGTCTATAGGCTTTTTCATTGGCGCTCTTTCACCCTTTCCTGGAGTTGGTTTCTCTTTCTTGGCAAAATCACCCTCGGGATGCAAGTTGTCTTGAGGAATTGTAATTTCAGCTCTCTCTCCTCTAGTTGGCGCTTTTTCCTTTGGTTTTCTTTCAAATTCACCCTCAGGTCGCAAATTGTCTTCAGGCTTAATTGGTGTTGGACGTTCAGCTGGCTCAAACTTTTTCTTATCAGGTCTTTCAAACTCTCCCTCAGGATGAAGATTGTCTGTAGGTCTCACAGGTTTCATCCTTTCAGCTGGCTTTACAGGCTCTCGTGACCGCTTCTCAAACTCTCCTTCTGGCTTTAAATTGTCCCGAGGGCGCTTAACATCGGCTCTGTCACCCTTATTAGGAGCCGTCTCTTTTGGCTCCCTGTAAAATTCACCCTCTGGATGAAGGTTATCAATAGGCTTTTTCCCATGGACTCTCTCTCCTTTTGCAAGACCGTAGTCTTCTCGTTGCATATTATCAATGAATTCTCCTTCCATGTAAAGATTATCTTCATGTCGAACAATTTGGACTCTCTCAACCTGGCGAATTCTCTGTAATTAGAATTTATAAATTTTAATATACTCTATAAATTAGGTATTTTATTTCCAAATTATTACCTGGAAGTCATTGCGAGTCCTCTGTGTATCATCAAAGGTGCCCTCCATGCGGAGGTGATCTTCATGTTTCACAACGGCAGCCCTGTCACCAATTCCGGGTCGGTAATCATTCCTCGGGCTTGCATCAAACTCTCCCTCAGGTTTAAGATTGTCTTCTGGTCGCTTAATATCTGCTCGCTCACCTCTCTTTGGTGTAAAATCATCTTTGGGTCTACCAGAAAATTCACCTTCTGGACGAAGGTTGTCATGCTGCTTAAAGGGTGCTTGCCTATCCGCAGGTACATATTTTGTTTTTTCTGGTGCTTGGAAGTCCCCTTCCGTGTAAAGATTGTCCACGGGCCTCACAGGTGCAGGTCTGTCACTCTTTTTAGGACCCTCTCGCTCTCTTTGAGCAAACTTTCCTTCAGGTTTAAGATTGTCTTCAGGGCGTTTGACATCAGCCCTTTCTCCTCTTTTTGGGGTAAAGTCATCTTTAGGTCTTCCAGCAAACTCTCCTTCAGGTCGAAGGTTGTCATGCTGCTTGATTGGTGATTGTCTCTCGGCAGGAATATATTTTTGTTTCTCTGGAGATTGGAACTCGCCCTCTGTGTACAAATTGTCAACGGGCCTCACTGGTGTGCGCCTATCAGCCAATTTAGGAACTTCTCGTTCTCGCTTTGCAAATTCTCCCTCAGGGTGCAGATTGTCATGCTGTTTGTATGGTGATTGCCTTTCTGCAGGAACGAATTTCTGTTTTTCTGGCGCCTGGAACTCTCCTTCAGTGTGCAAGTTGTCAACAGGCCTAACAGGAGCTGGCCTGTCAGACCGTTTAGGAGTCTCACGTTCCCTCTTTGCAAATTCACCTTCAGGACGCAAATTGTCATGTTGCTTGATTGGCGACTGTCTTTCTGCAGGGATGTATTTTTGTTTCTCTGGTGCCTGAAATTCTCCCTCAGTGTGTAAATTGTCGGTTGGCTTGACAGGCGCTGGACGATCAGACCTCTTTGGTGCTTCGCGCTCTCTCTTCGCAAAATCACCCTCTGGCCGTAAATTATCTTCTGGGCGTTTGACATCAGCACGCTCACCTCTCTTAGGTGTATAATCGTCCTTAGGTCTTCCAACAAATTCACCTTCTGGCCAGAGATTGTCTTGTTGTCTGTATGGCAATCGACTTTCTGCAGGGATGAATTTAGTTTTTTCTGGAGCTTGGAATTCCCCTTCAGTGTGCAAATTGTCAACAGGCCGGACTGGTGTTCGCCTATCAGCTTTTTTTGGGCCCTCGCGCTCTCTCTGGGTGAATTCACCTTCAGGCCTTAGGTTGTCTTCCGGTCTCTTGACATCAGCCCTTTCACCTCGTTTGGGAGAGAAGTCATCTTTTGGTCGGCCGGTAAATTCTCCTTCAGGCCACAGATTGTCGTGCTGTTTGTACGGAGCTTGTCTTTCAGCAGGGACAAATTTTTTCTTCTCTGGCGCTTCAAACTCTCCTTCAGTGTGCAGGTTATCCACTGGCTTGTGTATGGGCGCCCTTTCACCCTTGGTATTATTATAATCATCCCTGTGCTTAGTTTCACTGAATTCCCCATGAAGGTGCAGGTTGTCTTCGTGGTGAATCATGCTTCTCTTTTCAACACGGACAAACTAAAATCAAGAAATTAAAAGCATTATATCAGACCTCAACCAAGTTTTTAACGAATACAAAAATTTTATTACAATTAAATATTATGCATGGAGGCGCTTTCTGATTACATCAACAGCGCTCAGTAACTTGCTGGCGCTGTACATCAAATATTTTTTAAATCTATTTGCTCGCGTGCAACTATGCAAGATCGCAAGTAAAATTTGAAAATAACTCCTTTAATTGTAAAAGAAAAATTTGAAATAATTGCAAAAATTAACAAAAACAGTTATATTTTGATGATCTAAATTGGCTGCTTACAATTTTTATATTTAATTTTTCCGCCAAAAAACTTATTTACTTCAATTAAAATTGAGGGCATGTATGTGCACTGAACTTGTCCAATCGCGCTTAAAAATCACAATTCCTCAAAGAGCGTGGGCAGTTTCATCTTAATTGAAGTATGATTAACTTGCAAAAAAATTTATAAAAAAAAAATCTTGTTTTTATTTTTGATATTATTAAATAAATTGAACATTTGAATAGTAAAAATTAAATTTAAAAAAATGTCAGCAGCCAAAATATTAATGAAAAACTTACATTGTATTCATCTCTCGAACGGTACGAGTCGTCAAATGCGCCCTCCATTCGTAGGTGATCTTCGTGTTTGACAACTGGCGCTCGTTCTCCTTTACCAGGCACATAATCCACCCTAGGTCGGCCATTGAACTCTCCTTCTGGGTGCAAATTATCTTGCGGCTTTTTAACATCAGCTCGATCACCACGCTTTGGCGTAAAATCATCTTTTGGACGGCCAGCAAATTCACCTTCAGGATGTAGGTTATCTTGCTGTTTATACGGCTTCCGAGCTTCAGCAGGAATGAATTTTACTTTTTCTGGAGTCTGGAATTCTCCTTCAGTGTGCAAGTTATCGACAGGCCTCACTGGTGTTCTTCTGTCAGCTCTCTTTGGGCCTTCACGCTCTCTCTGGGCAAACTCGCCCTCCGGCTTCAAATTATCTTCAGGGCGTTTTACATCAGCTCTTTCCCCTCTCTTCGGAATAAAATCGTCTTTGGGTCTGCCGGAAAACTCGCCCTCGGGACGTAGATTATCGTGCTGTTTGTATGGTGATTGCCTTTCTGCAGGTATATATTTCTGCTTTTCTGGCGCTTCAAAGTCTCCTTCAGTGTGCAAATTATCCACAGGCCTCACAGGCGCCGGTCGGTCTGAGCGTTTTGGAGACTCGCGTTCCCTCTTAGCAAAATCACCTTCAGGACGAAGGTTGTCGTGCTGCTTGTAAGGTGACTGCCTCTCAGCAGGGACGAACTTTTGCTTTTCTGGCGCCTGAAATTCTCCCTCTGTGTATAAATTGTCCACAGGCCGAACAGGTGACGGTCGGTCAATTTTTTTGGGGCCTTCACGTTCTCTCTTCGCAAAATCGCCTTCTGGTCTCAAATTGTCTTCGGGGCGCTTTACTTCAGCTCGTTCACCCCTTTTCGGCGCTTCCTCTTTGGGACGGCCTTCAAATGCACCTTCAGTGCGCAGATTATCGTGGTGTTTTATAATTGGCTGCCTTTCTCCAGGCCTATACTGGTTCTTTTCAGGTCGTTCAAATTCTCCTTCAGGGTGCAGATTATCTGTCGGTCTAACAGGCGTAGATTTTTCTCCACGTTTCGGAGACTCGCGGCTTCTTCTGTAAAATTCCCCTTCAGGTCGGAGGTTGTCCTGAGGCTTGCGAACATCGGCCCTTTCTCCTTTTGTTTGACCGTAGTCTACTCGCTGTTGGTGATCAACAAATTCTCCTTCTAAATGCAAGTTGTCAACTTGGCGGATAAGTTGGCTTCTCTCAATCCTTGTTGCCTGGTAAAAATAAATGAAAAAAAATTAATATTCTTCTCATAACTATTATTTGGATAAATTGCAGAGCAAAATTTTAATAATTCCAAGTAAAATTTAAGCTATAAAATTTTTTTAAACTTCTACTTTTATGAAATTAAATATCTAATTTAGCTAATTGTGCTCACTTTGTATTCATTTCTTGACCTATATGTATCATCGAATTCTCCCTCCATCCGAAGTTGGTCCTCATGAATAACAACTTGCGCCCTTTCTCCCCGAACAGGACTGGGCGATTGCCTTCTAGCGAATTCACCTTCAGGGTGCAAATTATCCTTGGGCCGTTTGACATCAGCCCGTTCGCCTCTCTTCGGAGTGAAATCGTCTTTAGGCTTCCCAGCAAATTCACCTTCTGGTCTTAAATTGTCATTCTGTCTTATAGGTCGCTGCCTCTCTCCAGGCTCATATTTAGACTTGTCAGGGCGCTGGAAGTCTCCTTCAGGTCTTAGATTGTCCACAGGTCGAATTGGCATCGGTTTTTCTCCTTTGAGGGCAGGTTCTTTTTCTTGCCTTATAAACTCACCTTCTGGCCTCAAATTGTCACTGGGCCGTTTGACATCAGCTCTCTCGCCTTGCCTTGGAATAAAATCGTCTTTCGGACGCCCTTCAAAGTCGCCCTCGGGATGCAGGTTGTCGGCGTGCTTGACTGGAGATTGACGCTCTCCCTTTCCTGGAGTTGGCCTTTCTCTTTTGGCAAAATCACCTTCTGGTTTCAAATTGTCTGCCTGTTTAATTGGAGATTGTCTCTGGCCTGGAGCGTATGGGGACTTTTCAGGGCGCTCGAATTCCCCTTCTGGACGTAAGTTGTCAGACGGTCTGATGGGAGTTGTTTTTTCGCCCCTTTTGGGAGATTCACGCCTTCTTTGTGCAAACTCACCCTCGGGGTGCAGATTGTCACTTGGCTTTTTAACGTCCGCGCGCTCACCGCGCTTTGGCGTGAAATCATCCTTAGGCTTTCCTTCAAAAGCGCCTTCAGGTTTTAGGTGATCGACTGGGCGCTTCACATCTGCCCGTTCACCTCGCACTGGTTTGCCGTCGTTCTTGGGGCGGTCATCAATAAAATGCCCTTCTAGCCGCAAATTATCCTCATGTCGAACAATTTCATTTCTTTCAGAACGTGAAACCTAAAATTAATTAAAAAAATTATTTTGTAATTAATATTTCAATTTTTAAATCATACAGATTTAAAAACTGCAGCGTTTGTTGATTCAAAATATTGCTCCCCATCAAGCTTTGTCCATGTTCTCCTTCTCTCTCCCCGTACAAGTCCGGTATTTTTTAAATCAAAGTCTTCCTTTGATTGAGTTGAGTCCTACAAAAACAAATTTTTTTTAGTTGCAGATGACATTTATTGATATATCATAATTTAATGATTAATAAAAATACAAAATTTTTATATTGGCAGTTTCATATATTTGAAAGTTCTCATCTTAATTATATATTTAGTATTTACCTCAAACTTTCCTTCCCCAACAGTCAAATTGTCATGGTGGCGTGTAACCTCAACTCTTTCCACAGATTCATGTGCCTTATATTCGCTTTTGCTTGTTGATTCCTCAAAAGAAAGATCTCCTTCCAATTTTGTGAAGGTGTTGCGGCGAACCATTTTTGGACGATCAGTCAACTCTCCAGTAAAATCAGATTTTGAAGTTGTGAAATCTAAAAAAAAAAATGAATAAAAAATTTAATTCGTAAAATTTAGAAAACTTACCAACAAAGTCACCTTCAGGATGAAGGTTGTCCTGTGGTTTCTTGGTAGGCGCCCTGTCACCTTTTAAAGGTATTTGCTCCTCCTTCTTGCCAGTAAAATCACCCTCAGGACGAAGGTTGTCCTGAGGTTTCTTGACTGGTGCCCTATCTCCTTTTCCTGGTTGTTGGAGGTCTCGTTTTCCTGTAAATTCACCTTCAGGACGCAAATTATCCTCTGGCTTCTTGATGGGAGCTCTTTCCCCCTTCCCAGGGGTGTAATCATCCCTTTTGCCCAAGAACTCGCCCTCGGGACGCAGGTTGTCTGTTGGTTTTTTAATTGTTGCTCGTTCTCCCCTACCGGGTGCGGGCTCTTCTCTTTTTCCAGTAAATTCTCCTTCAGGATGCAAATTATCCACTGGCTTTTTAATTGGTGACCTTTCTCCCTTTCCTGGAACAGGTTGTTCCCTGCGGCCAGTGAACTCTCCTTCAGGACGCAAATTGTCTTCAGGTCTTTTTACCTGCGCCCTGTCACCTTTCTGCGGAACGATGTTTTCTCTCTTGCCCAAAAATTCACCCTCGGGTTGCAAATTGTCGCGGTGCTTTACGATTTCAGATCGTTCTCCCTTGACGGCCGAGTAATCGTCCTTTCGAGAACCTTCGAAAAGGCCCTCCATTCGCAGATGATCCTCATGGCGTTTCACCTCTGCTCTTTCTCCTCTCACAACTTTGTATTCCTCCTTAACGTGACTATGGCCTGAAAAGTCACCTTCCAGTCGAAGGTGGTCCTCATATTTCCGTACCTCTGCCCTTTCTCCGACCTTAGGCTTGTAATCCTCACGTGAATGAGGTTCGCCTTGAAAAGGTCCTTCAAGATGCAAATGGTCTTCATATTTGTATCTAAAAAAAAATTTAAACCTTATAATATAACAATTTAAATTTGATAAACTTGAATAATTATTGGAAAATCAACTTTAATTCAAAATACTTCTTGTGTCAAAATTAGAAAAAATAACTAATTATTTATAAAGAAACAAAAAAATATAAATTTATTTTTATTCCTAAATATAACTTATTATTATATCATTAAAAATTAAAATCAACATGATGATAAAATGAATTTTATTGATATCTAATTGTACCTTTGTGTCCTTTCAGTCTGCTTCTTGTCAAACTCTGAGCGGTATGCAGAGACCGATTCAATTTCACCTTCAGTCAAATGCAGCTCAGATTCACGCTTAATCGGTTTCTGTCTCTCAAACGGCAGTGGCACGAAAGCAGTCCTACAGCAATTAGAGTGAACTTTAATAACCAGCTTTCAAGCTTTGAAAGTTTATTACTTTGAAGTTGTGGCGGTTTCGATATCTCCTTCTTGATGCAGGACTGTGTTCAGTCTCTTGATTTTGGGTCTGTCCACCTCGTCGGGTCGGAACGCCTTATACTCTTGGTGCGAGAGCGAGTCTCCGGGAATGTCAGGGCCCTTGGACGCGTCATAAATCGGCTCACTGGATGGCACGTGTGTGCAATGGTGGCGACTGGAATTAAAAATAGATAATTGATTAAATTTAATGTCAATTTTTGAAGGAAAACAAAATAATGCAATTGAATCTTTAAATATATGTAATAGTAACATGAGAGGACAAAAAGTTGGAAATGCAGATATTTGGACTTTGAGAATATGACAATGATTTAATTTGATGTGGGTAATTAGTTTAATCAATTAAAAAATTTTATTTTTACAAAAAATTCACTACGAAATTAATTATTAAAAACAATTAAAAAAAATTAATTTTTTTTCTAAATATTAATAAAAAAAAACACACACACATTAACTAGAAGTATCATATCAATTTTAATTTCACAAATAATATTACATTTAGCCTAATAATGTTTTTTAATCAATCGATTTTAAGTGTTTCCTGTAACAATTTGACACAAAAAACCAAAAAACGGGGTTGCCTTTTTTATTTGTCTTTGTTTTTTCTCAGAAATTGCATACGTGCAGACGATCTGTGTGTCAAGGTGCACCTATCGTCAAGTGGCTTCTATTTAACATTCAGTTGACTGGTTCGTTTTAATTGACGTTTTGAGTTCTATTTTCCTCACTGCCTGATTAATTTCGTGCCAACGCGTTACAATAATTCTTGTTAGAGCCTCTAGATACTGAGTCACTTCTTCTCTCAAGCAGTCGAGTAAGAGATGCATATAAAATTCTCTCTCCAGGGTCCGCACACCATGTAAGGCGAAACCAGTTTGATTTTATTGTGTGACGTCACCTATTTGGTGCCGGCCGCGAGAGAGCATAAAATTTTTTATGCCCACAAAGTGCGATGGGGTCAGCCGCGAAGAGAAATTTCCTCTGTATATGATTTTCAACAGCTCGTCATTTAATTCTTTTTTGGATTTCGCGTTAGAGGCACAAAGCCCCGTCTTTGTGAAAGGTCATGGTTTCAAGACATTGCGTGGAATATGCCAGCTTCATTACTGAAAATGAATGAAAAGCTTTTAATCCGATTATGGTGTGGTCGTGTAAAATTGGCCAATGTTTTGACAGTTTTAATGTTCGAATTCAATGTTTATTTCAAAATAACTTTTTTTAGGAAATGAAAATCAATTATTTTTCTCAATCTGGCTGAATGCAAATGCATTTTGTAGATGTGACGATTTCAAACAATTGAAACTAACGAGAGAATGCAAATTTGCGATTATTGAATAATTGTGATCCACTTGTGTCCGTCAGGCAGCTGCGAGTCACAAATTGAACTTGAAACCCAACTTATCATATTATTATATATTCAGTGAGGCCCTTTTTATTGCACTGCTTGCCATTGAAAAATTTAAAAAGAAGTCTTAAAAAATCTTTTATTACAAAATAATTTACCATGAAAATTGAAGTCCTATTCCACTTTTTTTTTTTTTTAATTCGAGCTGCTGACAATTTGCCACTGCTCTGAAAACCCGATTGTAGGTTGGCGATTTAAATTCAAGCAAACGGGACTGACTAAAATAAATAATTGAGCATTATTTCAAAGGTAATAAGTGCAGGCAGGACCAGTTTTAAACGCTCAAATTGTCACATGTGCATGCATAAGCAAGCAGAACGTATTCTCACTGCTCTCTCGGCGCCTAATAAGGCGTACAAGTGAGGAGCGCTCTGCTGATTGGAGAACAACTTGCCTTTAACGGCCTACTTAAATCTATTATGACTCGCAGCGAGTGTTTTTCAGACGAACGCGTCTCTCCGAAAGGCTTTAACAGCAATATTTGTATTCAGCAAAGGAAACGCGCGGCCCCACACTCAAATCCTTTCACTTACGTGCGCAACACTCAATTGTTGGCTCAAGCAAAAAGCAAAAATTTTACTTTTTTTTAAAATTATTTCAAATGCTAAAAAAAATGGAATTTTTAGAATTGGCTTAGAAACCTCTGCAGTGCGTGGAATTCGAGGATGAGAACGCTCTCGAATTTGGCACCCTCTCGCCGCAAAGAACCCCCTAGCTAGTGATATAATGCGTATAGATTTCATTTTTTCGCTAGAAAAAGCTGCGTGCAGCCTTGCGATGAATGAGAAGTCCCTCAAGTGATCGAATTTCCTGCTTTATAATGCAATATTTTGTTGTGGAATAACAAAACGGACTTTGGAGCATAGTTTATTATTTAATATTATATGACTGCGCTATTAGAAGAAAATTATCAACTGCTGCTGGTCGGTCGCATCATTATCATAACAACAATGCGAAAGCAAAGTGACCTTGTTGGTTAACTTGTACAGTGATGTCATGATAACGTGTGGGAGATTTAAAAGAAAAAGTTACGTCACAAGGCGGCCCATTTTTGTAAAATCCGCTGCTCCATAATGTTTTGTTAATTCATCAGCTGATGACTTCTTTATTGCTTTGGTAAACGACTTATTGAACTCGTGAATTATAAACGGCATTCTATATTAGGACAGTAAGGTTTTATGCAAAATACATATCAGGAATGATCCCCTGCAGGCAATTTTAATGAATGAATATTGCACGAAACACAAATAATGAAACTTCCCATTTATAGCAGCGGCGCGCGAATAATTTATTCTCTGCATGCTTCGATGCTGGCGAATTAATTATCAGTTAATTGCTTGCCATGTTTGATTCTATGGCCGACAACATTTTTTTTTACTTTAATGTCTAGACAAGATGTTGAAGATATCTGATAAGAAAAATCCACAAGATGTGATTTTAGGAAGGAAAATATATTAATTAATTAATTAATTAATTTAATTTGTTCATATATAATATTTTTATTTTTAAAGGAGTGTTTTAAAATGTCTGAATTAATTGACTGCACCTTGATGTAAGCGGATCAGCTTACTCAAAATATAAGAGAAAAATAAGGTTCATAAAATTTCAAAAATTCTAACAATAGGCTCAATTATTAATTAATGTTATAACCCAATAAAAAAATAAAGCGCTTTTATTTATTTTGATGTAAATTGCGTAAATTGCAATAACCACCATCCTATAGGCATAATAAAAATTCTTATAATCATTCGTCTTTCGCCGAGAGATATTTGACAAGATTAAACAGAAATATTTGGGGACTTTTCAACGCAAGCAAGAAAGATAAAATTATCATTAAACCTAATTCACACACGCCATCAAAACTTTCAAACAAGATTATGCTTCTTATCACAGAGAAAAATGAACGCGTCTGATTAAAATTAATTTTTCAATTCATGAACTTGACAATCAAAATTTTAATTCTTTTCATTTCCACAAAATACACTTTTCAGTTCTGATGTAAGAAAATGAGCTTTTCTTGGAAATATGAAATATATAATAATACGCATTTGCTCAATGACTAAAGCAATCGCATTGAGAAAAGCCAAAGGAAGGCCCGACCGCTGTTTGCAGTGTGCCACGTACGTTTTTCACACGCTTTAGAAGAAATAAATATTTCTTTCTACTCAAAAATCAGCGGTTTTGTCGGTCATTGATTTATATCATGAAAGTATAGCAATCAATCGCCATAGCAGCGTGTTATTATAGTTATCGACTAAACTAAAGCCCAGTGAGTGCTTGTCTCTGGTGCTACAACATGAAAGTAAACGCCGGTTGCGTGGAAATTATAATGAATTGTAAATCGAGAGCAGGTCAAATTGCCGCAAACGTAAACAAAATGTATTTATTTTCCTTTAAAAATCTTATTTTCGTAATAAAAAATATTATTTTTTAGTGAAATTAAGGCCATTGGACGCAACTCACCCGCAGGTGCAGATCTGGCAGACGCACTGCTCCTTTTTTGGTGGCTCATCACTTTTCCTCTTGTCCACTTTCTCCGTCTTCTCGGCCGTCATACTTTTGCTCTGCCGCTGCTCTTCAATGGTGACACTCTGTTCTGCAGCCCCACGTGTTTTGGTAGTCTTATCATCTCGAGATGTTTGCTGTGACGTAATTTTTGAATCCTTTGACTTGTCGCTGCTCTCGCTACCCCTGATTACAATCACCTCGTTAATTACGTTTTGCTGGGCACTATTTTTAATTATGCTGCTGCTTGAAACATCAATATTTGAGCTCTCAGTAGTTTCAGAGGAGGAGAACACGTTTTGCGAACTCTGCCTCTTCTTCAGCTCCTTGAGCACGTCCTGTGGCACGGTGGCCCGGCCGGCCGTGGGCTTGGTCTTTTCGCCAGGTTGTTGTGTCACCGAGGGCTTTCCGGCTGCAGGCATAGGCGTGTAGATTATTTTCTCCACGGTTGTCAAAACTTGGTGGTCGCCGGTGGAGTCTGCGAGGGTTCGAGGAGCAGGTGTTGGTCTTTGAGTTGACGTTTCTCCACTTATCACTTCATATGAGGACTTTGATGTACTCTGATCAAATGAGACCGATTCGCGTTTCTGCTGAGACTCGGACGAGGTGTCCGAGTAATACTGCACTGTTCTGGAAGAAACTGTCGGTTTTCCAGCGGCAGGCATGGGTTGGTACGTCACCTCCTCAATGGTAACCTTCTGCTGACCTTCCTTCAGATCCAAACCTTTTTGCAAAGGTTTTTGACTTTCCTTCTGATCCCTGGTAGACACTGATGGCTTCCCAGCGGTTGGCATCACCTTGTATTCTGTTTCTCCAATTAGGACACTCCTCTCGGTTTTATCCGCTACTTGCGATTGTCCGGAGATTGTGGACGAGAATTGAGATGTTTCGCTTGTAGATGTTTCGTACGTGTTTCCGTGAGAATCACTCTTGATCTGCTGGCTGTTGCTCCAATGCGTTCTGTTGGACACAGAAGGCTTTCCAGCCGTAGGCATCGACTTATAATAAACTGTTTCACCAGAGCTTGATTCTTTATGTGTTTGCAAGTTTGGGTCTCTTTGTTCAACGTTGGATACAGACGCCTTTCCAGCAGCAGGCATAACTTTGTAAGTAGAGTTTGACTGATCAAATGAAACGTTCTGGTTTTCACTCGTCATGTGGGTACTTGACATTCGTTGCTCACTAGTGGAGAGACCATCGACCGTTCGTTGATCTTGAAGAGTTCTCTGAGACATGGATGACTTTCCTGCAGCAGGCATGACTTTGTAGGTGGAATTGGCCTGGTCAATTGACCAATTTTGGTTGTCACCACTCGTCATGTGGGCAGTGAATGTCCTTTGCTCATTTATAGTTTGTCCACGAGCTGATTGTTGATCGCGAATATTTTTCTGGGATACAGAGGGTTTGCCTGCAGCTGGTAGCGGCTGATAAAGGATTTCAGTGATTTTGACGCTCCCGCCGTCGTCCATGTTGATGTAGTGGGTCGTCTGCCCAGGAACCTCTTGATAGGAAACGAGGGCGTCATGAGCAGTGGCGCCACTGTCTGCGTGGGTAGCACTGACCGACGAAGTTACGTCTTGGCTTATTACTCTGGCCTGCCCTTTTTCAACCACGTCCGAACTAGACGAACCAGTTTGGCCCACGTAGGTGGTTCGGTTGACCGACGGCTTGCCGGCTGCCGGACGGCTGTAGGAAAGCATGGTGGCCTCACCCTGTTCAAACACGTTGATGCTTGAGCTGCTTTTCACGACGCTGCTGGACGATTGTTGCACAATTTCCTTCGCTGAGCTGCTTCTGGATATCTCCTGCTGTACGAATGAGGCTTTTCCTGCGGCTGGAACGCTCACATATTCCACAGCCTCAGATTTCTGCGCCTGTTGCGAGGAAGAAAATGATTTATTTTGCGTGCCCTCCGAAAAGGAGAAAGCATGAACTCCGCCCGCGCTCAGGGAAGAAGAGCTCGTCTCGAGCACTTCAGATTTGCTGGAAGACTTTGAAACAGATTGTCGGAGACTAGATTTTGACTCGGACATGCTCATAGATTGCAAGGAAGAGGCTGATTCTAAAATTGTGGCCATCGCGTTTGATTCTATCACATTGGAAGCGGCCTCCATAGCTTCGCTCACTATTGAGGCTGACTCCATTATTTTTGAGCTTGAGCTCGATTTTGATATTTGCTGTTGGGAGCTACTTTGGGAGGCGACCAAACTCGAACTGGAGGCCGATTCCACCATTTTTGAACTGGAAGCTAATTGCTTTGAAATTTGCGAGCTTGATGCCGATTCAGAAATTTGAGAAGAACTTTCGGCCAATTCGGAAATTTGTAATTTTGAAGCCATTTCTGAAATTTTCGAACTTGAGGCCGATTCCGAAATTTGCGAGCTCGAATAGGCCGATTTGCTATTTGAGTTTGCCTCGGTGGAAGAAATGCTGCTGCTCACGGCTCCATTTTTAAAATCCACGGTGCCGTTGCTTTCCGTGACAGTAAATTTTTGGTGCTGTTCATTTTCCGTCTGACTTACTTGCGTAATGTCTTCCACCACGCTTTCGACTACCTCGGTCGTAGAGCTCGACTTCACCACCTGAACGGACGACGAACTCGCGGCTGACGAACTCTGGCCCGCCGAGGTGCTAATCTCTTTAGCACCTTTCTTTTTCGCCGACGTTCCTTCTCCCTTTTTTGTCACTGTCATCGCGGCACATTAACTCACTATGCTAATATTTGATAAAAAATAATATTGAATAAACTTTGCACTGCGCGCGAGTGGAACTGTAGCGACTGAATGCTCAGCCTCTTATGAGGTAGGCCGGCTCGACGCCTAGCATAATACACCGGCCTTCGGCACCGGGTAACAGGCCAATGGGAGAAGTGCGCTTCCACTTCTTATTCCACTAAAGGCTATACGAGAAGAGAGGGCACCTGCATCATGCTTGGTGGGCGAAAGATAATCTCTTCGTCATCGTCTGTTTTTTTTATTCTGTGTAAAAAATATCCCCCGGCCTACACTGCGTTTACACGTCACATATTGTCACGGGCCGCTCGTTTTCTCGAGTGAAATGAGATGCGCGCCGAGGTGGTTAATTAATGGCATTTAATGCGCCTCTAGGGTATTTTCACAACTCGTGCAGAATAATATACTCTGAAGCGCCCACTTTTCAGGTTTATTTAACAGGGGAGAATAATTTCATAAAGCATTAGAGCACGTCACATTTCTTTTTAGTCTCCTCGAATCTGTTCCAAAGAATTTAATCCAGCTTTTTTTGCAATATCCGCCGAGCATTTGAGCAACGGCGCCGGACTCGCGAGCAGAGTTCATGCTCGCAGGCACGAAATAATAATATAACACCACAAAGCAAAAAAGCCAACGCTAATCCATGCATGCCACTCCTGTTGTCGCTTCACGCTTCATAAAACATTTTGAATAGATAAAAGTAGCAGTGGAATTTCGCATGCCTGTCAGTGCATTGAAATGTGCGACAAGTGCATATTCTTGTTAGCCTGCGTTGCAATTTAATAGAAAAAAATAAGCATAAATTAAAGTTGAAAAAACTGACCTTTCGTTTTGAAATCCATAAGGAAATTAGGCAGAAACTCAGAAGGGAGAGAAAAATCCAAATTGGGATCATTTTCAGCCCTTTGTATTTTTAGTGAATAAGATAAATTTTACGGGCCATCTCTGGGCCAAAATCGTGGCCTAGAGATTATTTGAAAGGAATAAAATGGTCCCAAGGCGGGAAGTCTCCACTTGAGGCCGGAGACGGCGGGCGAGGGCTGCCCAGAACAGGCCGAAGAGCAGCAGCATTTTGCAGCAGGTCTTCAGAGAGCGACTACCCTGAATCCCGACTCGCGGCTGCATAATATAAGCTCGCGGCTCTTTGTTCGCGTGCAAAACCATGCAAAAATTGCATTGAGAAGAATAGTCTTAAAATAAATAAATTTCTACAACCGACGCAAATAATATTTGCAATCTTTTTAACAGACACGACGCGACGTATACTATTTAGTATTTATAATGATAAGGCAAAAAAATATCAAGACAAAGTAATTCTTTTTATTAATTTAAATTTGGTGTTTACTTGGAACAAAATCGTGGAATAAATCAGCGTGAACAGTGCGTGATTCGCGAAAGCAATAAATAACAGTAAATCACGTGCGCCCACTGAAACCATGTCTTGGCACCCACCTTATTTAGCCAGCAACAAATGGGTGTCGTCATCAAATCATCTGATCATAATATATATTTTTCACGCCGTTTTTTTTATCTAGAACAGACAGGTGCTGACGGAGCGGCGGCTCGATTCCGAATGCTGGCGATTTTGTACTCAATAAGTGATGTGTGCAGCAAAGTGCCGCCTATATTCACTAATAGTAGCAGAATGCACATTGGATCGCTATGGCAACCTCCCCAAAACACCAAACGCGCGCCGCTGCTTATTTTCTGTGTGTCTCACCAACAACTCTACTGCGCCGCTCGTTCAGAAAAGTCCACCGTGTGCATTTTGCTCCCTATCGAATCTCCAAATCTGATCTCATTAATGAGTATACTGTGGAAATATCCTTTATTTTTCTACTTTTTGATTCTCTTTGATAATGTCAGTTTTTGACAAAATTTTCACGGCCAGTTATTAAATATATTATTGAAAAAAAATTTAAAACAAAATAAAATTCATTGCGAGAAGAGCAATTTTTTAAATTATTCTCTTTGATCAATGGAAAAAGAACAAAGACGATCACTGCGATTAGGTCAAGGACGCGAATCAATGGTGCTTCTGAACTTCTTGCACAACAGGAGTGGAGCAGTTGACCCTATAATCAAATATACTGGGTCAGCAGAAAAAATCAATAAACACGGCCGGTGGTTTCATTTTTTGCGGACTGGTCGCAATTAAAAAGAGATTTTGGCTCACATTTTTCTCGGAACAAATTAAAAGTAAATGGATGAAGAGTAAATTGAGACAAATTTGACATGCAAGGTGGTCACACGCGCGCGACTGAATATTTCGAGCTATTTTCAACGCGCGGTGCTGCAATTGCAAGAAGGTGTGCACGTAATACTCTGCTCAGGGTTAAACGCGAGTAAAATTACTTCTGTTGAAATTTCCACATGGAAATTTCCTGGCAAAACAAGCCGCAGTAAATGTTTCCTAATTAAGCTATATTAAACATTGTCTCCAAAAATCTAGTACTGAATACAAAGTTTTGTTAGAACAGTACTATCTCATTTAAAAAGACAAGAAAAATATTTAAAATATAAATTCTGATTATGCTGAGTTTTAAGTGTGATTCTTTTTCAATGTAAAGTGATGAAAAGGATTCAATTTCACAAACTAAAGAATTTTAATTTATTTCAGAAATAAGGAAATTGTTAATAAGTTTCATTTGTTTTTATTAATATTATTTTAACTTAAAGTCAGAAACTTAGCACTAATTCACAATTTACATCTCACAATGTTTTAAAAAGTAAAAAATGTTCAACCTTTATTTTTTACTAACTGAATATTTGTTTCAAATACAAAATTTTCTTAAAATTTGTCCTTCATTAAAAAAGTTTTTTATTTTTAGTAAATTTAATTATTTTTTTTTATATAAATGGTTTAATTTAGTTTAAATTAATAAATTTAGAATTAATAAATAGCAACTTATGGGCAGGTAAATATTGCAGATATATTTGATATTTTGGATATCTCAAAATCAAAATATAAAATTTCTAGAGCAGATTGAGTTTGTGCTTGAAAGTAACTGTGCGTTGTGCTGGTGGATATTTTAGCGAGCAGTGGATGAGTGGATGAGTGGGTGCTGCGAGAAACACCACATGACCACACTTGATTAATCGTCCTTTTCCTTCTTCGCTGCTGCGGGTCTTTTAAAACCCCACCAACAAAGGTGACATCTCCTTTGTGCGTATTATTATTAATTCGCCAAACCGCAAATGGAATGAATTATTCTGTAGAAAATCTAATAAGTCATCCAGTTGACCTTTGCTTCACAAGAAATCTAACAAAGTAGGGAAAACTCAGCTTTTAAATTAATTCTTGTTAATTTCTTGTTGTCAAGAGGCCTTTTAAGCTCAAAGTTTTGCCCAATGGTGGCACAAGAGGAAAAAATCGTATATGGAAATATAAAATGTGGCGCAAAAGAGACACCGACAAGTGAGCTGCACGGCACGTTTAGTTTTCGAGTCTGTGCCCACACTCGCCAGCACCGAGGATGGATGACCTCATCCTCCGCGGCCGTCTGTTCAACGACGCCTCCTTCTTTTTCACTTCCAGACACGATTACATTTTCCCCAACCAGCGACCTCCTTCTAACTCTCACCTGCTACAATTATCGCAACAAATAGAATATATTTAAAAGATGATAATAACCTTAATTTTACAAATAAAAATAGAACTAGTAAAAAAAATTTAGGCCTATTTTTATAACTTTTGGAGTTATTGTTTATAACTTCTTTTGTTTTGCAGAAGAAAATATTGCACATCAATTTTCGGATCTGGAAAGAGCCGTGGAGATAAATGCTGTTGAGATTCTTGAAAAACAAAGGCGTCTCGGGGCCGAGCTAGGGCGTTGTGCCCGCTCCTAAAAAGCCTCTCGCGTCTGATCAGGTGAGACCATTGTGCGCCTGATTTCCACCCGAGAACCAGTTTTGCTTTTTGTGGGCGATCAAGGCATAAATTGTCGGCGAGCGAGAGAGTTCTTGAAATTTGTGGCACTTTAATGATTCACAGTTACGCGCCGGCCAAATTTATTGCGACCCTTTTAAATTGCCCTGGCCTTTTAAAAGCAACAGGGCAAGCAATGTTTGGCTCGAATGATTTTTGCAAGTATAATTTTCTTGGTTCGCAATTTGTACAATTTTTATTATTGTGCAGAAGAGTAAAAGTGAAATGATGCATTTTGATTTTCAAACCAAATTTCACAAGATTCTAATTTTTGGAAAAAGTTGCAAAGGGTCTTTTAAACATACTGCGACTAGCAGAAATAATTTTGCGTCAGACTGGTGCAAGTGTTGAAAAAGATCCCAAAGTTATGAAACCCGCGCAGGCGATAAGTGAGGCAAGTTGCATAACCTAAGCCACCGTAGAATTGTTTGTCCACTTTTGTCGATAAAGCTACATAACGTTTTTTCTCATTTTTCAGTTTTTGAAAAATACGTTTGAAAGAAAAAATTGAAAATTATGTATTTTTCCTTCTTTTGGTGCATTTTCATAAATTTCATCAAAAACGAAATACTGGAATTATATTAATAAATACTATTAAACTTTCATTTTTTGAATTGTTAAACGGAGGACGCAGATGACTTACTAGAAACAAAATAAACATTTTTTAATTTGAAACATAAATTTAAATTTCACATAACATAATTCAATCGAATATAATAACATAATTATGTGAAGATTATTAAAAAAAAAAAAAAAAAAAAAAAAAACCACATATAAGTCTCTCTGGTGCAGAATTTTTTTCACCGAAAGAATAAAATTTTTTGCCAGTCTTTTTTGCCTTCTTGTTCTGTTTATGCTGTTTAATCCTTAACCAATTAGTTTTCTCTTTTAGTGTTTAAACTATCTAAACGTATTTGTTAATACAACGTTTTCTAGTAAGTATGTAACCATGTAACAACAAAATTTACCAAAATAAAATTTAAAGCCAATATAGCATAAGAGCAAAAAAAAATTGTGAAATTTTTGAAAGATCCGCCAATAATTTACAAAAAATACACATTTTAAGAAAAAAGATCCTGAAAATAAATTTTTTCAAAATGGAAACTTACACGAAAAACAAGAATTGATCCGCAGCTCCCTCTTCTCCAGC